TTTTTTTTTTTTTTTTTTTTTTTTTTCATGGCTGCAGACCGCGGCCATGGCCGCCTCCGGGGGGGATTCATAGAGCAGCGCTGCCGCCAGACTGCCAAGTGCCTGAACGAGTGACAAGCAGCCCGACTCTTTCCTATATGGAAACCGGATGGGCTGGCTGGCTGCCTGGCTTGCTCGCGCGTGTGCCCAGTAGGTTCATGTTCGGCCAAAAGTCTGCGCCCAGGCCCAATCCGGACAGCGGCCTGGGACCAAAGCGGTTAGGCGTGCCCAACTGACAGACGTGGCGTGTGTCATTCTTTGACGGGATAGACCGAAAGGTCTGCTTCCACATAGCGCCCGGACGAGTAGAAGGCTCACTGTGTTACAGTTGCAGTGCGAGTAGGGCCTCGTAACCAACTGGCGCCCAGTAACTGTCTGGCGCCCACATCCCCTGCAAATGTCAAGTTTAGGCCTTGTGGTGAACTGCAGGCCTGCCTTCACTTAGGGCGGGCAATAGGCCTGCAAAGGGGCCCCTTAAGAACCTGCCGAGGATGGATATCCTGTTAAGTCTGTCATTGCATCCATTTCTCTTGTGGGCACATTGGTCTCTCAAGTGGGTTTTGGGCCTTTTGGCTGATGGAACTGCGGTCTGCCCTTGAATACAATGCACATTCATCATGAATGTACACAAGCTGTTTTCGTGGCCTGATACTGTCCTGATTGCGCTGCACTGCACTGTGTGTGGGAGGTGATGGTAGCAGCGATCCTCTTTTGGAGTTGCTCTAAAACGGACTAAAATGGTAAGAACCATACTTGCGGCGCATTTGTGCGGTGCGCTGCGCCATGCGGACTGCGCGCGCACGTGCGCGAAAGTGCGCACGAGGTGCGCCGTGCGCGCAGCGCGTGGGGACGCGCTACCCCTGCGAGGTGCGCACTGTGCGCCATGCCTCTTTTTTTTTTTTTTTTTTGGAGGAGCCATGCCTCTTTTCGGTGTGTGTGTGTGTGTGTGTGTGTGTGTGTGTGCTGTCTCTTATACACATCTAGATGTGTACGGGGCTATGGTGGAGCAGAATGAAGGGAAAGGGGAAGGAATGGACATGGGAGAGAGAAGGAATGAGAACTTTGTATGTGCTGATGATTGTATAC